GTGGATGAGGCGGGGCGCGCCGTGCCCTGCCCGTCGCCTTCCAGAGGGGGGCAGGTGGGGCCGCCTCTGCGTCTGCTCGGGCTTCTTGCCCCTCCGTCCCTGGCCACAGTGGTCCTGGCCGGATTCCTTGAGTCGCGCTAGGCCGTGCCGTCACTGGGCCAGTCCCGGGGGAAGCGGTACCGGGACAGAGTCCCTCCAGGTTCACGGCAGGGTCACCGTTTTTCTGAACGAGCTGGATGCTGACTGTTGGAGGCCTTGCGGGCGGGCCATGGGCTCTGTCTTGACCGGAAGAGTGGCTGTGGACAATGGGTAGTGAGTGGGTGGGGCCGTGTGCCAATAAAGCTTTATTTGTAAAAGCAGACGGGGCCGAATTTAGCCCACAGGCCCTGCTTGCCAGTCCGTGGTGTACAGGGCTATTTTTGTTTCCGCTAACGGTCTGGAGGCTGATCTGTGGCATTTGGGAAACTTTAAAAGCGAACTTTAGGGCTTCCAGAGCGGGAGTTGTTTTAGTTACTTTTTTCATGTTGTTTAAAAGCAGAGCATGTCGAGTCTGGTGGTTCCCAAGGCGCTGGCCTGGGCGGCAGACTTGTCGGAGAGGGCGTCTCCTCTGGAGGGACGGCAGGAGGGCCAGAGCCGCACGTCCACTGTGTCCTGGGCTCTGGGCAGCCCGTGGCCCTGGCTTCCTGCGCGAGGCACCTGAGCGTCCAGGGGATGTGGGGAGGAAGCTGCACGCCAGAGCCCGCCGGGGCAGTGGCGTTCGTGAGGAGGGAGTGTGGCCCCGTTGGTCTCTTCTCGAAGACTTGAAACTGTCAGAAGCACCTGTGGGCTGCTGCCTGCTTCCTGTTAGGTGAGCTCCGAGGGTCTCAGGGTGGCCGGTGTCCACTGTGAGTCCAGCGTGGCTCTCGGCAACTGGCTGTGGACACCGGTGTGGGCAGACGCTGCCCGGGAACCTGGAGCCTCGTGGGGACCTCGGCCCTGACTCACTCCGCGGCTCCGTGGGGCTGGTGTCCGTGGCAGAGCCGAGTCCTTCAGGCCCCCAGGACCCTTCGTGCCGGTGGAAGCCAGGCAGCCGACGCGGGGTCCGTGCAGCCCGCCAAGGACTGGAATGCCTTTGCTGGAGACCGAGGCGGGCTGTGGGCACGAGCCGGCGTCTTAACGTGCAGGCTCACGTGCGTGCCGTCTGCCGACGGAGGTACCCGCTAGCCGGGGTGCCTGCCGGCCGAGGTGCCACCAGCTAGAGCTGCCACCCAGGTGTGACTGACGGTGCCTGGGAGAACAGACTCTGTGGTCACGGCCACAGAAGCCACTGCAGGTCTTGAATGCAGGGATTGGGCTATGAAGGTGCCGGGAGGGCGGGGACAGAACGGGCGCTGAGGCTACCCGAGACGCAGTGAGTGCAGGAAGCCACGGCCAGCTGTGGACGGGAGGAGGGAGAGGAAACGCAGTGCTATGCAGAGTCTCGCTCGCTGCGCCTCCAAGGCGGTGGCCCTGCCACCTGCAGCCCCCTGTGGGCCAGGCTGCCACCCCGTCGCCGAGGTCCTGCGAGAGGCCGGAAGGTCACGCCCTCCGACTCCCCCTTCTGCCAGTCCCTCCTGGGCCAGACCTGATGGAAAGCCGGTGGCCAGGGACTGGGCGGAGCTGTGGCCCGCAGTCTTGGCGCTACAGCGCGGCGGGGGGAGCGGAGAGCCGAGCCAGCCCTGCCCGAGTGCAGGGTGGACGGGGCCCGTGGGGGCGGCCGCCGTCCCCTCTCCCACCCTCTCGAGTGGCCCTTTCGTCCTCAGGCAGGACTTCCCCTTCCCGCTCCCTTGTTCCTTGGAGGCCGCCGCCGCAACAGCTGTGAGGCCCCCAGAAGGGCCCCTGCAGGGGCGGGTGGCGTGGGCCCTTGCCGGGCTGGGGAAGCCGGGTGGCGTGGGCATGCCGTGGGCCCGCAGGGGCTGCAGTCGGGCTTTCCCCAGAACGGGCCCGGGACTGTGCCAGGTCTGCAGACGGTGCTTTGGGCGGCAGAGGCCACGGCGTGGCGCGGGGCCTGGAGACTTGCTGGGGACGGGGGTGCTGCCTTCCCTGCTCTGCCGTCCTGGGGACCTCGCCTGGGAAGCTGCCGTGGAGCTGCTCGGGCGAGGGCTGGTCAAGCTGGGCTGCCCTTGCTGGCGGGCCGCGGCCTCCCTCTGGCCTCCCCACCTCTCGGGGCGGGGCTGGTGTAGAGCCTTGACCCGAGTTCCTCTTTCCTGAAATAGCTGTTTCTGCGGTTGCTGTCACAGTGGTTTGGGGCTGTGTGATTAAAAACCTTGCAGGGCATTTTTAGAACCCGAGCCCGGGCGGGGACATACGTGGCATCACTGGTCCGCCAGCCGCGTCCCGGCGCCCACAGCTTTACCAGGTGACCCTGTGTCTCCGGGGCCCTCAGCCTCTCACTCTTGGGGACTCGCCTGCCCCGTGCTGGCTTCCTGCCCAGCTCCCCCAGCCCCGTGCGTCGCCGGGAGGCAACACCCCTCCTCGACGTGCCCTCAGCCGAGGGTCAGGAGGGGCCCCGTGGGCTCAGCCATCGGGAGAGCGTCCTCCCCGGCCCGGCCCTTCCTTGAGGGCCGAGTCGGTCCACATGGGGGAGGCTGGGGACAGCTGCCGGGACACAAGGGTCTGGCAGAGAGTTGGCCGTGTGGGCGGGGCCCATGGGCCCACACAGGTGGACAGGGAGGGGGCGGAAGCGGCTTGGGTGCCCCCAGCTGGGAGGCCAGTGTCCTGGTGTGAGAAGCAGCAGCGTGGGTGGCCTGAGTGAAGGTGAGGAAGCTTCTGGTGGTCGCCAGGTCGGCATTGCTGGGCAGGAATCAGGGTGTCGCTGTCCCTGGAGGAGAGTCCGGTCCTTTCCCCACAGGGGGCGGGTAGAGGTCCCTTGGCCGGAGACCGCGTCCCTGCAGCCTCGGGGGCCCCTCTAACCGCTCTGTGTGTCTTCACCGGCCCGTGTGTGCATCCCGTCTCCCGCTGCCCCCTCGCAGGGTGTGCATGGCTGGGCCTAGGGCCCCCCGCTGACCTGCTGGAAGCGTCTCTCGAGGCCCTTGGCCCCCTCAGCCCCCCAGTGCCTTTGCCTCGCGAGCCCGGGGATTGGGACCGCCATGCCGCCAGCCACAGGCCCTGGGCGTCTGGAGGGGCTTGGGAGCCCCAGGGAGAGCTGCAGAGAGCGGGGTGTGGTGCCAGAGTGTGTGGCTCTTGGGCTGTTACAGGCGGGAAAGTTTCCAGAAAAGAGACGCGGGCGCCCGACGGTGGTCAGAGCCGCCCGAGTGACAGTTCGGGTGGCTGCTGGCAGATGCAGGCCCACCAGGGTGAGCGTGTCCTGGGAGGGTGCGGGGTGGGGAGCTGTCAGCATCTGGCTGTGTGGCCGGGGGTCTCCTCCTCCTGCCCTCAGAGCCCTGGCTGCTCTGAGGCTAGACTGACAGCAGGGATGACCATCAGGGCTCAGGAGCACCCCTGGCGGCCTGGTCCTTGTCCCCAGAGGGGCTGACACCGGGGCCGGGGCTGGGGCCCAAGCCCAGGACAGGAACGGACCCCGCCCCGAGGAGGGCCTGGGGAGGTGGTGCAGCCCCTAGGAGAGAGGCCGGGGGGTGGGTGTCAGGTGACCCCTGGCACGGGGACAAGTGGGGCCGCCTGGAGGGGTGACTGTGCTGGCTGCTCGGAAGGGTCCGTTGGAGCACACCCGGCCGCCCGGGGTGAGCACGGGAGACCAGCTGGCCCCACGGCCAGGGCGGGCCACAGGCACAGGCCCCCTAGGAGCACAGGAGAGCCGTGGAAGGTGGGGCGCTCCCCAGACAGGCCAAGCAGCCCAGGTGCTGGAGGCCCTCGCGCCCACTCAAACCCCGGCCGGCCTTCCCGGGCAAGGCCGCTGCGCGGAGGAGCCTGGCGTGCCCTCCAGGGACCCAGCCCCAGTGCTTTCCTATCACAGCTACCAGGCTCTGGATTCGCGGGGGGCCAGCGCCAGCCATCCTGCTGGAGGAGGGAGGGCGGGTTGGGCACCAGGAAGCCGACCCTGACTACGGGCTGGGGTGGGTGCCGGACACCGGGGGCTGGGTGGGCCTGGCCTTGGTCCTGCCGGGGCGTGGGGACAGGCCGGCCAGGGGTCCACGTCCATCCTTGGGGGGTGAGATGGCCACGTGTCCAGCCCCTTGCTGGGGAAGGGCCAGGCAAGTCCAGGTCACGGCTGACGGGCGGCCCCTCCCTGACCAGAGCCCGGCGGGGGCTGCTGGGGGGCACTCCAGCCCGGCATTCTCTTGAGGTGACGGGCTGGGTGGTTGGGAGACGGGAGCACTGGCCCAGGAAGGTCCGAGTGGTGTTTTCAGAGCCGGTGGGGAGGTGGGAGACACGCAGCTCCCCTGGACCGTGTCCTGGGACGCTCCAGTGCCCGTGGGACAGCCATGGACTGCCCCGCCACGTCCCGGAGGGGCCGCCACGGCCTGAGGCTAACTCTCCCTCTCCTCTCTAATGCCTTCGGAAGGAGCTGGGTAGTGTGAAAAGGAACGCGTGGCACGTAAGTACTTCCTTAATGTCCCGATCAAGCTCTTCCTGGTGGCGGGCGTGTGTCACTGCGCCCTGTGCATTTCTGCTCACACTGTGAGCGGGGGTCTCCGGGGAGTTTGCAGTTCACGGTCCCTGCCCATGAGGCTTCCAGTGTTGAGTCAGCCCGACTCAGGCTACCTGCGCTCTCAGTCCCAAGGGCTTGGCCGTGAGAACCTCTCGGGAGCTCCCGGGACCCGTGGCGGTGACCCCCATGGGTCAGATGAGAGGGAGCCTGGCCTTCTTTACAACTGACTTCAACGTGTTGGGAAAAAAGCCTCATTCCCGGATCGTGACGGCCCGGGAGAATCATTTCTCGATGAGGGTCTATGCGGATGCCGTCTGCTGGGGACGGGACAGGGCGTGGCCTCCCACAGGATGCAGCGGCTGCGAAGGGACGCACACGCTGCCCGGCTGCCGGGCCCCAGGCACACACAGACGTTGTGGCCAGGTGGGTGGACGTGGAGATGCATTTACTTACGTGCGCAGACAGACACGCAGACGGGTTTGTCCGTTCAAAACACGTAGTGGGAAATGCAAGTTGTAGCGATACCCTTCAAAGACCTGGCTGTGCAAAACCACCCCCCACAAGGATGCGTCACCAGGCCCAGTCCAGGCGACGCAGGCCAAACACCTCTGGAACACCTTTCGGAATTTCCTGCACAGCGTATGCATGGCACGTCTCCCTCAAAACAGTTTATGTATGCGTTTATTGTTGTGAAAGCAATACTTGTTTGTTGTAGTGAACTGGGAGGCTCCCAGAAAGTGTAAAGAAAGCAAAAACAGGTCAAGCTCTGGCTACACACAGACACACACGTACACACAAACACACGTGTACATATGACATATACACATACTTTTTTTCTCTTACTAGTATTTTTCTATACTAAATTTTTTCTTCGATTTGGAGACTCACTCTGTCACCCAGGCCGGAGCACAGTGGCACGCTCACAGCCACGGCAGCCTCAAGCTGCTGGGCTCAGGCGATCCTTCCGCCTAGCTGGAACCACAGGCTCGCACCATCATGCCCAGCTAATTTTTGTGATCTGTTGTAGCCATGCGGTCTTGCCAAGTGGCCCAGGCGGGTCTCGAACCCGCGGGCTCAGGCAGTCCTCTTGCCTCCTTGTCCCAAAGTGCTGGGGTGGCAGGCGTGGGCACCGAGCCCGGCTCTGTTGCTGAGGATTCTAATGGGAGTGGCTTCATGTCGCGACCCTCGGGGGGCGTGTCCCAGTTTGCCGCTGGTACACACAGGCTCCAGGGCCCCCATGTGTCCCGTCCCCGTCTCGGGGTCCAGTGAGGGGTCAGAGCGTGGCCCTGTTCCCTGGAAGACCCTGAGCAGTGGGGCGTGACCGGCCGAGGACTGGAGGGGAGGACACTAGGGCTGTGGGGAGCCCCTCAGTGACCTCTGTTCCCCTGGAAATCTCTCCTGTCCGAGCCCCAGCCTGCGACACACGGCCCTCAGGCCCTGCTGCCACGCCAGGGAGGGACGGGTGTCCCACAGCGCCTGGGCCTGGCACCCACCGAGGACAGTGCCGCCCTTCCAGGCCGCTCCCAAGTCCTTTGGCTCTGCCCACCGGTCCATCGGTGCCGAGCTCCTCCTCCTCCTCCTCCAGGCCGTGTCCTAGTGTCACCCGGGCAGTGGGTGGCTCATTCCTAAAGGCTGGTTCTGACAAGGCGCTCGGCTGGGGGGAGGCCACCTGCATCCGCCGTAGCCGGCATTGGCCTAGTGGCCTCACAGCCTGCCTGGGGGACTTGGAGGGCCTTGGGGAGAGCCCGCACTCGCCGGGGAGCCTGGCCCCCGGGTGGGAGGCAGTTGGGCATGGCTGGAGTCCAAGCTGCTGGGGCATCCGGTCTGGCTCCAGCACAAGTGCCCACGGAGACGGACGCAGCAGGGCGGGCTGGGGGTCCTCCTCGGGCCCCACCACCCTTGGGAGCCCCAGTCTGCGGCTGTCCTTGTGCACTCTGGGGCCGCACACTCCAGTCCACCCCACCCTCAGCGCGCCACACCGCCGCAAG